TCTTTTCCCTTCTGCCTCCCCCTGGGGGCCCGGCCGCACCCTGGGGGGAAGCTATAAGGCAAACTCACCTCCTCTTTATGAAGGGCTGTGGGAATCACCCATATGCCAACCTTAATTCAGGGCTCAGGGTTCAGACCCCAGCATTTCACCCTGCAATTCGGAAGAGTTATAGCAGAATTCTGGCTTTGAGACACTAAAAGATTTTGTGAAATTCCTTTAGGCTCCCTGTAGCATTCAGAGGGTTATGGAATGATAGAATCATTAAGGTTGGAAAAGACCTCTAAGACCATCAAGTCCAACTGTCAACCCAATAATACCATGACCACTAAACCATGTCTTGAAGTGCCATGCCTACATATTTTTGAGCACCTTCAGGGATGGTGACTCCAGCACCTCCCTGGGCAGCCTGTTCCAAATGCCTCACTACTCTCTCCGTAAAGAAATTCTTCCTAACATCCAATCTAAATCTCCCCAGTGCAACTTAAGCCCATTTCCTCTCATCATAACACAAGTTACTTGGGAGAACAGACTAACACCTACCTACCTCACTACAACCTCCTTTTAGGCAGTTGTACAGCGCAATAAGGTTTCCCCTCAGCCTCCTCTTCTCCAGACTAAACAATCCCAGTTCCCCCAGCTGTTCCTCATAAAACATGTTCCACAGACCCTTCACAAGCTTCGTTGGACTTCTCTGGAACTGCTCCAGCACCTCAATGTCTTTCTTGTACTGAGGTGCCCAGAACTGACCCCAGCACTCAGGCTGTGGCCTCACCAGTGCTGAGCATGGGCACGATCCCTTCCCTGCTCCTGCTTAACACACTAGTGCTGATCCAGGCCAGGATACTGTTTGCAGGTCCACTAATGACAAACCTTCTAATTAGTCTATAAACAATTTTATTTCATTCTGTTCAGTCAAAAAGCAAACATAAACTAAATTGAGGTATGTTATGCCAGCTCATGACATATATATTTGAGTGGCAGTTCTTTTAATTTATTTAAAATAACAGGTTGAGTGAAAATGGAATACACGGTGATAATTATAATCATAGAAAAGACTTCTACACTATTGGACACCTGTAACTTAATACATGAATCAATCATGTTTTCCCCTGAATTCAGAGACTATATTCTGCCAAGAAATATTCTGGAGATGTTGCCTAAATAATGTATATTTTGCTCAGGAATAAAATTACATAAGCAACTGTACGTATTTCAAAGGATATCAATCATCTTTAGAAGGTGGACATGTTTGAAGTGCACGAAATATTGATAGAATAACAGCAAGTATCAAAGCCATATCACTTCTAACTAGCATTTAAAACCTTAATGCATTTAATTCAAAAATACAGCCTGAAAAATCTTTCAGTATTTATTAATTCACTTTACAATGCAGAAAGCAGCACATATACAACTTCTGTTAGCAGAAGAGTCAAATAAATAGAAAACTGGATTCCTCATTTGAAGAAAAAATATTTAGCTATTATTCTGTTTGCAGATGTCACACAGACACCTGTCTGGTGATGTGCATAAGGTTTTCTTTCACGTGTTGGCTTCAGCTGAAGCCTCAGTGCTCTGAAAGACTTCTCTGTGTCAGAGGCCAGCACCCGGTGCCCGAGGCCAGCGCTGCTCACGGGACCGGGCCTGACAGTGCCTGAAAAGTACAAGTCCGGACGGTCCCTTCTGCGCTCTTAAGCTGCTACTCCGAAACGCCTTCAGAAGAGCCTCAGGTCCGAGCGTTTCCCCACGGAGCCCCTCCTGGTCCGTTTCCCGGCCGCCCAGGGCCTCACTCCACGCTCCACCTCGCGCGGACCCGCAGGTCGCTCCGCGCAGACACGACGGCGCTGAACGCGCGGG